TGTGTTAATTTCATAGTCGTTGTCAGCAACAAGTGTTTCCCAAACGTCTTCACCTTCCATGCCTTTCACTCAAATAAAAATTTTCAGAAAAAATAAAACTAGCTCAGATTTTATAATATTGCTATGGTAGAGTTTAAGAGTTGAGCTTCAATGTATAAACAATCTTTTCTATCTGGAGGCAAGAACACTGGTGCTTTATGGTCATGAGTTGAGTACATGTCTATCCAAAACTCACGATTGAAACCAGTTAGTTTGTAATATTTAGGATTTGGTAATGGTGAATTTCTTGTATGACCAATGAACTCATTTTCAACTCCTTTACTTAGGTTTGAATATAATATTGCTTGTTTTCTATCCCAAATACCTGGAAATCTAATTTCGGAAAAATCATTTTTCCTCGGAAGCATTGCATCATAATTGAAAACATTTTTGAAATCATCACTTGGTTCAGAGATTTGAAATCTTATACGTAATGGATTTTCTTTCTTTTTAGCTACTTCATTGAATGGTGAATATATAACAAACTGACAGTCATGAGTTCCATCTTCATTTTCATTAAATTCATAATGAAAGTCTATAAGTTGTGGCTGACTACCTTCTTCTTTCAGTTGTGCAAGAAACTCACGTAAAGGCTGTAAAGTTTGTACTTCAATGTTAAACTTTTTCTCGGACATTTCATTAAATGAAATCATACATTGTTGCAATGTTGTATCGTCTTTAAAGTATTTGTATATGTGAATGTTTTGGGCGCTTAAAGACTGTTCGTCATTTTCTATCTCGACTTGAAGTATAAAGTCAACCTTTCTGAAAGCACGTGTTATATACATAGATGTTATGCCAATGTACTTCTCTTCATTTATGTTCACAATCCAGTCTGTTGGAAACTTAAACGTTACTCTGTTCCCCTTTATTTTGACGTCAGGGTTTTCACTACTGAACGCAACAGATAAAGGTATTTGTCTATACATTTAGTTCCGATAAAAATAAACCATTTACTCTTTCTTTGCTTCAGCTTCTTTAGCTTTTGCTTCAGCTTCTTCTCTAGCTTTTTTCGCCAGTAGTCTTGGGTTCTTCTGTCTTCCAGCAGCTAATGCAGCAAGTTGTTTTTCACTAAGTTTTCTCTTTGGTCTCTCTGGCTTTTGTTCTTGTTTTTGTTCCTTCAGTTCGGATAAAATTTGCTCACGAATTTCTTTCTTCAATGCTTCAACATCTATGACCCCTTGGGTCTTGTCCGTGGGGCTTGTCTGAGTCATTTGACTGCAGATAAAAAACAAAATTAAAACTTTAACCGATGTAAAATGAGCTTGTCAAAATCAGAGCGAGAGTCTATTATATTAAATGACGCAAGAGGAATACAACATCCTTTCTATTATGTAAGTCAGAGTAAAGATGGTAAAATATATGTTAGGAAAAGAAAGGTTCCATTAGCGAATACAGAGAGCGACAACATTAAGGTGCATGGCACCGAGGGCGAAGCCCACGAAGCCCATATAAAACATTCTGTTCAAACTGAGCCACCAAAAGAACAAGAAGAAAAGAAGCCAGATGTACTTTCAATAACGAACCAAGAGCTTATTGCAAAGTTCGTGAATTTCATTGAAAAACAAACCGAGTCAAAGAACCCTGACCCACCAGTGAAAGAAGTTGAGACAAAAGAAAATGTACAGTTCATTGAAAATGTCAAGAAACAACTTCCACCACGAATGCCAAGAAGAAGAGTGAGAATAATGAAGTAAAGAGATATTTTTATCCGAATCAAAGACATGCAGAACGAACAGTTAAACGAATTTACTCCAGCAGAGCATATTCATCAGATTCGCTCATATTTCGATATCATAGACAATGCAGTTCAAATTGGTGACACTAATAGAAAATATTCTGACGCAAAGATTCCATCACAACCTGGAACTGCTAAAGATAACACATGGGTAACATTCAATCTCTCACCTCCTGGTGAAAATATGTTGGACCTTTACAATACATTCATTACATATAAAATGGAAGGTCAATTTATTGTAGATAAAGAAATTGGTTCAGGTTCCGATAAAACAAACCCACCAGGATTTTGGATTGGTTTCGATGACGCTTTCTATGCAGTTGCTGGATATCAAATCCTTGCAAATGGTCGTATCGTATATTCTCAAGACAACGCAAGAGAAGAAGCATATATAACTTCAAACTCACAAACTGCCGAACAAATAAAGAAAGTAGATGTTTTCTCAAAGACTCGACATGAAGATGTATGGAGTCATTCGGGAACATACAGAACAGGACAAATTGTTAGTGGTCCAATTACAGCAGGAAAATCATTTGATTTTAATTTAGCTTCGTTTAAGAATTCCTGTTAGAAGATTCCTTCCATTAGAAGCTATTCGATTTATTCCAGCTTTTGCAGGAAACATTCAGCTTAAAGTAAAGTTCAGTAGCGACGCCTTACAATGCACATCTATATCTGTAAATGATATCATTGCTTTCAATCCAACTCTTAAAGTTGCATTTGCTTCAGATTCAAATCCACCGACAAATAAATTTGTTCCATGGAATGAACCATTCACTATGATAACGAAGGCAGTAGAAGCTAGTGGAACAGTTACTATTACAACTGTAACCAAGCAACTATTTCGAACAAAGATGGATTTTAATGAATGTTTTATTCATCCAAAGTCATTCTCTTTAGACCCTAACATTTATACAGAACTTGTAGAACATTATACAAACGAGGCTTTATGTTTTCCTGTTAAAGTTATGGATTGGATTCCTATGGACGGTTCATTCTCAAAGAATACAGATAGTTCAAGTGCAACATTTACAGCAGCTTATACGCCTATTAATGTTAAAAGTATTTGGGCACTATTTAGAAAGAAAGACAACTATTATGTTAATTTTGAGAACCCTAAGTTTAAATATCTTCAGCTTTCCATGGGAGCTTATGGAAATATGCCTGCAGAACCTGAAAAATCATATGGACCTGTATTTTATGAAATGGTTGCGAACGCTTGCAATACAAACAATGATATGATAGGATTTAATGAAGATGTTATGAGGTCATTGGTGGATGATGGTAGTGTGGAACATAAATGGGATAGCTATGACAACACACATTTCTTATGTGGTTTTCCAACAGAAGTGGACTTTTGCTTCCAGCAAGGTCAAACTTCAACAGCTCCAATAACATACAAATTGTCTGTTAAAGGACCTATTGAACTAGCAACTGAAAATGTACCAAAGCCACTTATTGGATTTATGAGGGATTGTTGCTTTGCCATTCAGGTGCGTGCTAATGGCATCCCAATAATAAGATTAGATGACTATAACTTAGCCGCGGACGACAGTGAGGAATAAAGGATGAACGTTTATTTTTAAAGCTTATAAATGAGTTCTTCATCAAGCTCTCGTGAACCTTCACCATCTATGAAACAAACTTTACCAAACGATTATGGAGCACCTATTGAATATTTCTTACGAGCTGCACAATGGCAAAGAGCAGTCTCACCAAGGTTAGGTGTTCCACCAGCTTGTCAAAAATAGCATTTGGTCAAGTCCTTATATAAGATATGGTCTCCCACTAGGTTTGATAGCTACAGCAGGAGCAGTTATGATGTTGAAAAGAAATAAAGCAAATGTTGTAAATAATACTGAAGTAGCTGAAGTTAAACAAACTCCAACACCTTCACAAGCAAAACCTTCAATGACTCCTGAACCTATGGAAGTACAAACTCCTGTTCAAAAGTCAACTCCTAAACCGACTCCAACATTTAAACTAGAACCTACTCCTCAAATAAATCGTAAAACTCCTGCGTTTCCTTACTGAAAAAATAACGTTATTTTTATTTAATATTAAAATTTTTATTTGATTGAAATGACGACTAAAGTCACTGAAGCAATGAAACAAAAGTTTTTGGTAGAATACATTAAATCAGGAACTATTCCAGAAGGTTTTTACATTCATACTATGAAGGATGGTAGAGTTCAGTTTAGAAAAGATAAAGCAACCATTAGATAAAGAAGGAATTTTGAGAAAGATTAAACTTCATGAGGACAACATTGCTAAACTTAGGAAGAAGTTAGAAGAGTTGGAGAAAGGAAGAGAGTTATAAAGCAATGAATTCAAGTGGGTGAAAAAAGAGGTGAAAAAAGAGGTGAGATCTCACCACTTCACCTAAATTTATTTTTGTGCTATGTTTTCATACGTGTGAAGGTAGTGATATCATTTATTTTTAAGTTTATTTTTAAGTTTATTTTTATGTAAATGACGAAAACTATTGAGATAACAAACTACAACCGTCATGAGTTCAAGAATTTGTTCTTCGTTCCTCGTGAAAATACATTCTATCAGATACGAGGGAGAAAGGGTAAAGTTAGTTTGAGCGTTTATGACAACAAACATAATGGGAGATATATAAAAGCAATAGATACAAACGGTAAGCGTGTTTCATTAGCTTTGTCAAAACTTACTAACATTTATTTTGACAGTGACTTTGACTCTGACGATTGGAGCGACAGCAGCGATACTGAAGAATATGAACTATTGTGTGAAGCACAGCAATGGGAAGCGCTGCAATACTTTTGTAAATGAGAACATTAGTGGGAACGTTAGTGAGAACGTTTATTTTTTCATTAGTGAAGTCGTTAGTGAAAACATTAGTGAGGTGAAGTGGGTGGCGGTTTTGTAAATATTTAAGGTTAAGTTAGTGTTGTCGTTTGTGTTGTAAAATATACGTCAGCGGTTTTGTAAAGTGTCAAACCGTTATCTTGGGTAAGGTGGAACGCAGTGCCGCCGTACCCAAGATAACCATACTAACTTAAAATTAGTTCGCAAAGCTAACGATGTCCTTCGTTCCATTGACGACAAACCAAAAGAAGGTGAGAGATGGTTAAAGAAAGATGAAGAGAATAGGAAGAGAAATGTGAAGTCAGGCAATAGACTCATTGACTTTAATATCGAAGCTTTAGATGAACCAAACAGAGACTACTTACACAAACATTTCGGTAAGGTTTTCATGAGACTCTTAGAGAAAATTAAAATAAACTCACAACAGAGATGGATGGTATGTTATAAACTTGGTGGAAAGTATGAATGTTCTACGTTAAACCTCAATAATATTGGAACATTACTACATCAGCTCTTGAAGGAGAACTTTATATCAGAGATAGAAGCAAATGCTGCAGGTATTGTTGAAATGCACTATGACTTCTTCTTGACAAACATAAAGAATCTTACTGAAATAAAGATGTATGATTTAACAGAATATGAAGGCTTAACGATGTCAGATGTTAAGAAAGGAAAGCCACAGAAGCGACCATATAGAGATGAAAGCACACTGACAAATGACCAGAAAGCCATTTTGGAAGCTCTTAAGCAAACAGGAAACCCAGCACTTATAGAAAGCTTTTGGAAAGATAATGGTGAAAAGAAGTTTTATAAGAAGAGAAGCGGTCAGTTCTGGAAGTATCTTTGCACATTACCTATAAATCTTGAACGCTACCAAATCTTCAATGAACTGAACAAAAGAACTGCAACACTTATGACAGAGGACAATTGTTTCGTTTATGCTTGCATTCAGGCTGGAGTAAATGAAGAAACTATTGACCACATGAGAGAAGTCATTCGTGTTAGAGACTTTCCTCAAAGTAAAGTACAAGAAATTTCTGACGCAACAGGTATAGCATTTAATGTTACCATTGGTTATTTCAATGACTCAAGACATAATGAAATAAAGAGATACATACCAAAAGAATGTAAAACTGTTCGAACTATTGACTTACTTCTTGTTGAAGACCACTACATGCTAAATGAAAGACTTCCAATGACAACATATTTCATTCGCAACTATATAGAAATCTTGAAGGAGTGTGGTGGAATGAACATTGAAAAACAGATGAAAATATATACAATGAGAGATGGTAAATACATTGTTCGCATGGATAGAACTACACCACTATGGGATGTTATGAAAACATTGTGGGAGTGCATATATTTCGAACCTATTTCTTATGGAGAACTTTTCACATATACTACTGACTTATATAAACAGAACCTTGCACCATTTAAAGACTTGTCATATGCTCCAAAGTATTGTGTACAACTGAAGGAGAAAGTAGAGTCAAAAGAAGTAAATAAAGCTAAATGTAAGTTCATTCCTGAGCACGTTTTCTTTGCTGACTTTGAGTGCAGTACCGATGGCTTTCATAAAGCTTTTAACATATGTTATGACAGTGAAGATGGTTCAGTGAGTGAAAGCATATGGGGTCAAAACTGTGCAACAGAATTTTTGGAGCGACTTCCTGACAAGAGTTTAATATATTTCCATAACCTCAGTTATGACATAAACTTCATCTTAAGACACATGACAGAAGTGAAAGGAACTCCCATCATTAAAGGTTCACGAACAATGCAAATAACTGGCTTATATAAAGGACGGGCAATTATTATAAAAGACTCTTACAGTGTTATAAATAAGAAGCCTAAACTATTTCCTGCTATGTTTAACTTACAAACAGGACCGAAAGAAGTATTTCCATACAACTACTACAGCAGTACTTTGTTAGCAAATGACAACAGAACTGGTGTCATTTCTGAAGCATGTAAGTTTATCCGGGATGCAGATACATTCATGAAAAACATAGATTCCATCAAAGGTTGCAGAATAGATGAGAACCACTTCGACTTAGAAAAGTATAGTACATTTTATTGCAAACAAGATGTAAGAATTTTAAGAGAAGGTTTTGTTAAGTTCCGCAATGACATATTTGATTTAGAATTATGT